AGCGAGCGTAGTCTTTCCTTAGATTAACCCTCGCCCGTATAGAGGGGGGGTCGAACGGACCCCCCCCCCCCCTCCCATGGTTTTTCGCGAATAACTCGCGTAAAAAGCGGCCGATCGCGACGAAATTTTCAGTACCCTCGCGTTAATCAATTTTACACCTACCCTGAAAATTTCATGACCCTGACCCCAATGACCTTTGACCTGTGACCTACTTTTCGAGACCATGTTTGGCCGGAATTGCGATTCGGCGTATGTCGGCCCGCATTAGCCGCGCGTTTGCAGTCTTTCCGTGGTTTCAAGCGTTCAAACATGTGATATGATGTTGCCCCCATGCATTAGGGTGGGTTTCAAGGTCACCTGAAGGTCAGGTCAGGTCATTGACCTTTGGTGACCTCGGTTCACTTTTTCGAGTTTTACATGTTTCTAGGCCAGTTTTTGGAGCTGAATTCGAATTTAGCAACCATATGAACGTTTACGAAGTAGTTTTGGTACCTTCGTAACATGTTACGAAGCTGTCAGAGGCGGTTGACACCTACTAGGAATACCCGGCAGGACCCCTACTGGTTGACCTGACCTGACCTGACCCGACCTGGACTAAATGCATAAAGACATCATCTGTGATCAAAACTAACATGATATTCGTGATCAGCGCCCCGAAAAACCCCATAGCAGCCACACTAGGACGTTTTAACAGGTCCCGATTTTCCCGACTTTTGGGTCATTGACCTGACCTGCAAGGTCAACCAATGACCTAGGACCTTAAAATTAGGTATCATCGGCTTCCTCTCGTCACGGGCAGCACGCTCGTTTTTTCCGCGAAGCTCTAGCTCGATCAGGGGCGAAACGGCAAGGGGGGGTCCAACGGACCCCCCCCCCTTATACGTTCGCGGCTGGAAAAACACCAATACGGGCGAGGGTTAACGGAAATTTCTGAGTATGAGCGGCCGGCCGGCCGTGCGGACGCTTTTGCGAGGCTTATATCTCAGCAACCACTTGACCGATTTACATGCGGTAATTTTTGTAGGGTAGCTTCATTCCTTCTACCAAGTATTGGACTATTCCCAAAGCATTTGGGTGACCCCTTAGGCACGTGCCACGTGCAAAACGAAGAGGTGTCAGTTTTGTAATTGTTGCAATATCTCGGTAACTACTTGGCCGATTGCGCTGAAAGTTGGCATGTAGGTAGGCACCCACTAGGCACTGCATATCCATGTGCCAGAGTTGGGGTGCTGCTGCACGTGCGCACGTGCAGGGGTCGTTTCCAGATCTCGAGAACGGCTGGACCGATTGCGCTCAAATTTGGTACACAGTTAGGGACCGGTCAGTAGGGTGCCGTGCACAAGTCAGTCGGGGCCCATTTTGCACGTGCGCACGTGCAGGGTGCCGCTTCCAGATCTCGAGAACGGCTGGGCCGATTGTGTCCAAATTTGGCAAATCGCTAGAGACCGGTTAGTAGGGTGCCGTGCACAAGTCAGTTGGAGGTACCCCCTCGAAATTTCGCACGTGCAAGGCCCACCCTCTCGTTCGCTCCGTTAGTCGCCCCAAAAGGCGTTATACTGGTGGTAGTATTCCAATAAGTTGGACAGTCATCTCCCTGGGCGTCATTTTTCCAGGAAGGTACCTATGCAGGTGTTGTGGGTAGGCTAGGTTGAATTGGGAAGTTAGGCGAGGTAAGGTGGTTAGGACCCGGTCAGACCGTAGGGCCTGGTCAGGTTGATTTTAATCTTTCATTCTAATTTGACATATATACCTATTACCTATGTATGTTTTTCCTCCAGCCTGAATTTCATTAGGTAATGAGTTAATTTTGCTTTGTTTTTATCTGTCTTGTTTTATGTTTTTGTCCCTTAGGTATATTTTGCCCCATAGGCAAGGGTGGAGCTTTTCCAGGGAAGGTACGGTGGAGCATGATTGGAGGCGCTCAACCAGACGGCATAGGAGGGCACGGTTTCTGAACGCGCACTGATGCCTGATTCAAGCCACGCTGTCTTCATGCGGGGCGGCGCGCAACTTAAAAGTCCCTTAAAGAACGGGAAGTGATGCCGATAGAACCTTCAATCATTCTGGGCTAACGCTTATGACTTGGAAAAAGTCGCGATCCCAATTCAATCGAAAACCTGTGGGCTCTTGTTCAGCAGGAGGTGTATGAAGAGCCACCCGCCATAAGCACTGCTCAACCGCAGGCACAGGTTTAGACGGCGTTGGTCCGCATCAAAGCAAGTGTGCTGGATAATCCAGTGGCTGAAATGCTCCAGAACATTCGCCACTGTGTTTTTATGAAAGGTGGCTACAAGCTCAGTTAAAAAAGTAGGGGAAGGTGGGGTAAGACGGCCCAGCGGGGCAAGACGGACCACCAGCCCTCCCGGCTGAACCGCTGCTGGTATCTACTGCTTTATGCACTCACTATGTTTGTTTTCCTTCGTAACAATGGCCACCTTGAGCTCATGCTGCTAGGATGCATAGCTTTTGAGTTATTGAGAAAAATGTTGTTTTTCGTCAAACCGATCTAATATAAGAGGTCGACGGGTGATTCAATTACGGCGCCTTTCTTGCATGATTAGTTTCTATTTTGCACTTAACTGTGAAGAACAAAGTTATAAACTTAGTTATAGTCACACTTTAGGAAAGGCAAGGTTTTGCAATGTTGGGCTATTTGACATATGCGTCATGATAATGACAGAATTTAGATTTGGGGCAAGACGGACCACTGTGGTCCATCTTACCCTGTGGTGGTCCATTGTACCCTACATATGGAAAGTTCTTTTCCAAAACATTGACACAAGTTTAAGTAAGCTAATTTTTCAGGAAGGAGTCTTTGTTGCATGTGAGCCATGCATGCAACTGCTCAGTTAGCATGCATTCATGCCAAACGACAATCAACACACATGTTCCCAGCTTTTAGCTGCACTTCGAGTGAAGCCATCACTGTCAACATCACGTTACTGCTGCTGCTGCTGCTGAACTGGGGCAGACTCACTGGACGGCAACATGGACTGACTGCAGGCAGGGAGCTGCTGTGGTTGCAGAGACTGCTGCTGCTGCTGCCTTTCTTGACACTGCTGAGCTGGAGGCCGTCTGGCATCTCCACTTGCACTGATCTGTGGCAGTGAGGACTGTTGCTGCCGCTGCTCAACGCTGGGCTGCTGTTGCAGAGAAGACGCTGCCACGTTAGCCCAACTTCTTGGAGTCTCAGCGGCAGAGTATGTCTTCTTTGGAGCAGTTCCTTGCAGGTTTTGCATCGCACATTTGAGTTCTTGCATATCCACCTGCATTTGGCTAAACTGACTGAAAAGCACAGCCAAATCCAAGTTCTCAGGGGTTGAGAAAGGAATGCTGCTCAAATCAACAGCATAGAAGGTTGGCAGAGCTGTACCTTCTCTACCACAGACCTGTAGAGCCTTTACAATGTCTTCTGTATTTGCTCTTGCTTTTGAGCTTGGTCCTGTGTTCTTTCTCTTGATGTTCCGTAGATCTCATTATCCTCGACAGTCACCATGGAACATCGCCATGACCGTTTCCCACAACAGGTCTTTGGCCTCTTGTATTTTTTTCAGGGCTATAAAAATTGGCACACGTCTTCACCAAGACATCATAAGGCATTGTGTCAAGCTTGTTCGCAGCAAAACATAGTAGCTCACAGTGGTAGGACTGTGAAGGCGAAGCTTGTGCACCGTGCGTCATTGTGACGATCAAAAGAAATGCTTCCGAGAGAAAGGGAAAAAATTGCACCCAATTCATACCTCACATCGTAACCAGTAAGGTCTTAGCATTCATTAAATCAGAACTTAACAGAAATTAGATCCTTGCACGAGGAATCAATGCTAAATCTATATAGAATATAGTTCTTCCTATATAAAAATATAGAAAATAATATCCTTGTAAAAAGGTCTTATTTTCTTCGCTGAATGCTTATCATTTTGAGCATTAAAATAATAAATCCATTGTAAAAACTAAATTTGGGAAAGTGAACTATTCCCTTTAATATAGCAAGATTTATATTAAATACTTGTTATACCTGGTACTGTTTGACGTGGAAGCTTATCATGCGTTGGCCAATCATATTATGTATTTCAACCCTACGCATCCTGCATTGGCTGTAAGCAGCATGGATTGGCTGATGATGACATGGCTGCATTCCTCATTAAGACACACATTCCCGCATCAGACACTCTTCAGAAAGAGAAATGGAATCTCTTCCTCTAGGGTGATCATTGGGCCATAAAAGCTTCTGAATTGTGCTAGTCTTAGCTCAAGCTACAAAAACGGCGACCTTTTAGATACGAACCGCCTGCGAATGACTTGCTGATGCCTGGAATCGTAGGTATTCTCCGTGTCAGATTTCGAACATAAGGATTTCAAACTGCTGAAATTCGATGTACTTACCCCAAAAACGAGATTTCGTAGGCTCTCCCGTATCAGTATGTATCAGTTTTAGTTGTTATACCAGAGTTTCGCACAGCATGCTTCTCGCATGCGCGCCCAAGGCCAAGGTATATAAAAACACTCCCAAGGCCTTGGGAGTGTTTTTATATACCTTGGCCTTGGGCGCGCATGCGAGAAGCATGCTGTGCGAAACTCTGGTATAACAACTAAAACTGATACATACTGATACGGGAGAGCCTACGAAATCTCGTTTTTGGGGTAAGTACATCGAATTTCAGCAGTTTGAAATCCTTATGTTCGAAATCTGACACGGAGAATACCTACGATTCCAGGCATCAGCAAGTCATTCGCAGGCGGTTCGTATCTAAAAGGTCGCCGTTTTTGTAGCTTGAGCTAAGACTAGCACAATTCAGAAGCTTTTATGGCCCAATGATCACCCTAGAGGAAGAGATTCCATTTCTCTTTCTGAAGAGTGTCTGATGCGGGAATGTGTGTCTTAATGAGGAATGCAGCCATGTCATCATCAGCCAATCCATGCTGCTTACAGCCAATGCAGGATGCGTAGGGTTGAAATACATAATATGATTGGCCAACGCATGATAAGCTTCCACGTCAAACAGTACCAGGTATAACAAGTATTTAATATAAATCTTGCTATATTAAAGGGAATAGTTCACTTTCCCAAATTTAGTTTTTACAATGGATTTATTATTTTAATGCTCAAAATGATAAGCATTCAGCGAAGAAAATAAGACCTTTTTACAAGGATATTATTTTCTATATTTTTATATAGGAAGAACTATATTCTATATAGATTTAGCATTGATTCCTCGTGCAAGGATCTAATTTCTGTTAAGTTCTGATTTAATGAATGCTAAGACCTTACTGGTTACGATGTGAGGTATGAATTGGGTGCAATTTTTTCCCTTTCTCTCGGAAGCATTTCTTTTGATCGTCACAATGACGCACGGTGCACAAGCTTCGCCTTCACAGTCCTACCACTGTGAGCTACTATGTTTTGCTGCGAACAAGCTTGACACAATGCCTTATGATGTCTTGGTGAAGACGTGTGCCAATTTTTATAGCCCTGAAAAAAATACAAGAGGCCAAAGACCTGTTGTGGGAAACGGTCATGGCGATGTTCCATGGTGACTGTCGAGGATAATGAGATCTACGGAACATCAAGAGAAAGAACACAGGACCAAGCTCAAAAGCAAGAGCAAATACAGAAGACATTGTAAAGGCTCTACAGGTCTGTGGTAGAGAAGGTACAGCTCTGCCAACCTTCTATGCTGTTGATTTGAGCAGCATTCCTTTCTCAACCCCTGAGAACTTGGATTTGGCTGTGCTTTTCAGTCAGTTTAGCCAAATGCAGGTGGATATGCAAGAACTCAAATGTGCGATGCAAAACCTGCAAGGAACTGCTCCAAAGAAGACATACTCTGCCGCTGAGACTCCAAGAAGTTGGGCTAACGTGGCAGCGTCTTCTCTGCAACAGCAGCCCAGCGTTGAGCAGCGGCAGCAACAGTCCTCACTGCCACAGATCAGTGCAAGTGGAGATGCCAGACGGCCTCCAGCTCAGCAGTGTCAAGAAAGGCAGCAGCAGCAGCAGTCTCTGCAACCACAGCAGCTCCCTGCCTGCAGTCAGTCCATGTTGCCGTCCAGTGAGTCTGCCCCAGTTCAGCAGCAGCAGCAGCAGTAACGTGATGTTGACAGTGATGGCTTCACTCTGGTGACACAGTGTCCCAAAATTTGCTAGTTTGGGTTGGAAATGACATCCAAATCAAAATAATTTTCCGCTCCCACCTCCAACTTTCCAGAGCAATTTTTTACTCCCTATTTTATAAATAAAGAGCATCTGTGGGTACCTTTTACCTTCCTCCATTTTCGATTCAATTATCTAATAAAGCAACTCCCACATCCTTCAACATTCACAAATACATTGTTGATCCCTGTTTTCCGCCCTTTTTTGTGCCTTTCTGACTGGCATTTTTTCACTCTCAGCGCTCTTTCTAGTGACAAATATTCCCCTCTGACACCCAAGCTGAAATATAATTTTTGGACGCTGTGGTGACATCAGCAAAGGCAAAGGGCAGTAGAAAAAAGCTTGATGTTAAGGGGACCAACTCTTCAACTCTGCTGAAAGGCGTAGCGTAGCTCCTCCGCCAAACAAGCTTTATCTCTTTGCTGGTAGATTGGACATGTCAACAACCCGTGAGGCGCTGGTGACTCGTCTTCACTGGGTACTGGTAGTGTATCTGTATCAGAGATCCCTCACTGTGCTGAGAAGTATGGTTACAGAGGTTTTAAAGTAGTGTGCCTGCAGAGGTAGCCAGCAGTGTGCTGCTTCCTGACAAGTGGCCAAGCTATGTGTCAGTCAGAAAGTATTTTCAGCCAAAGGGAAACAAAAATGTGAGTGCAGCACCTCCTGTCCTAAAAGCGTTGTCACGTAGCACTAGTGTTGGAAATGTGGTGTCTGGTGTGCAGTGGTACTGTGGGTGTCTGTAGCTGATGATCCAGGTTTGCACTTACAACTGTAATTCCTGGAAAAATTCGTTTCTTCAAGTACGTAGGCTTTGTGATAGTAATGATATTATTAATCTGCAGGAAACTTGGCTTGCGAAGTTTGAGCTATTTATGTTAAATCAAATTCATGATGAGTTGATGACTTCATTGGTCTTGGTGTCTCTGCCTTTGTCTCGTCTAGTGCACTATTGTCTGGTAGACCCTTATGAAGGAAGTGCCATACCTAGGTATTGTGGAAGAAGTCATTACAAGGTAGTGTTAAAGTGACCATCCCACCTTAACATTAGTTTTGAGTTGAGATAGCCAAATTGGTGGCCATGGCCTGAAAATACCGGTTTGGGCACTCACAACATCGAAAAATGCTTTAATTCGGAGATATGGAATTTCAAACTTGCAGTTTTCGGATTCTAAGGGGCTAATGCATTGGTATGCCCCCTTAGAATTTGTGACGTCAGCAGAGATCTAACGGTTTTTAAATCTTTTACTAAAACGTTTGGTAGCACGCGGTGGTATAGGTATGCTGCTTTGCGCGCAACAAATGCCGCACTTTCAAATAAAGTTGCTAGGAACAGCGGAGATCCCAAAAAGTAAACAAAAGTAAAAGTCTAATATCTGGAAAACCGGTGAATATTTTTCGATGAAATTTGGTAGATATTGGTTTTCGCTCTTTCTGAACCGAGCGACATCACTTTCATGCCAATTAATTAACTTTTTTGAAGGTGGGAGGGTCCCTTTAAAGCTAAAGCTATTAGTGATCGCATAATGGTGATGGATATTGCAACAAATCTAGGTTTGTTTGTAGGTATAATGTGTATCTTCCAACAGATTACCGTAACGCAGACAGCCATGACCAATTCAGCCTGGCACTTGGCCAGTTATCCTGTTCGGTTGAGCTTTCAAGCATGAGGGCAAATTTTGTTGGTATTTTGGGCGATTTTAATGCAAATGCTTATGGCTCATCCTTCTATTTAGAACTTGTTGAATACTGCTCTGAGATTGGACTTGTGATATCTGATGTCGAGATTCTTGGAGCGTCTGTATTAATTATGATGGCTACTCTAGCGATCATTTGCCTCTCATTGTTAGCTTTGCCTCACAACCTATGCTGCAAACACTGGAGGAGACGGTCTGTTCCAGCTCTCCTAAGCTATGCTGAAATTCTGCCACCAGGGAGCAGGTTGTTATGTATAACGAGGTTATCCGTGAGAAGATAAGTCTTTTTAAAGAGTCTGTTATACGTGAAATCAGCACTGAATGCGGTATTGATTGTGTTAATGAGTCGCACATTGATACACTGTCATTTTGTTATAAAGGCTTCATTGAGGCTGTCAGGTTCAGTGGCAACTTATGTGTGGCAGGTCGGCTAAATCGTACAAACAATGCTAAATTCATTAGAGGCTGGAATGAGTCTGTTAGACTTAAGCACAACGTTGCTCGTCATGCCTTTCTGCTTTGGAAGTCATGTGGTTTTCCAAAGGAGGGCAGAATTGCGATGCAGATGAGACAAACTCGGCTTGCTTTCAAGTATGCTTTGAGAAAATGTAAAAGAGAGCAGCTTAAACTTGTTTGATGCAGAAGCATTACTTTTGCCAAATTGTCAGGGAACTCAGATTTGTTTTTCAATAGAAAAACACAATTCTAAAGAATAGTGTTTTAACTATTGACAACAAACCTTCGGTCATTACATGTTGACCAATCATATTGCCTAGTACAAACCCATGGGCTGTAAGCAGCATGCTGATTTGCTGACGATGACGTGGCTGCATTCCTCAGCAAGGCACGCATTCCTCTGCAAGGCACTCTTTTCAGGACAAGAAATGGAATAGGGTAGAGTGGGGCAAATCTCCCGGGGTGGGTAAAACGCCCACCCCTCTTATTTGTGGAATGCTCGACTTTTCAAAGAATCATTGATAGCCATTTTCAAGAACACTCAGGAATCTGATTGTACTCCCTTTTTTGGCTCCACAAGTGGGGTTTCTGGACGTAAGATAAAGATTGATACCGTAAAAGGGGGTGTTAAGGGACAGTTTTGAGGTGTTTTGTTTTAAAACTCAAGAAGGGTTGGAGATAGAAGCATCAAATTATCAGCATTGTAGGGGAGAGTGACCCAATTACGCACACGTAAGGTTCCAATCGCAATTGCGGCCAAATGGCTGCGCCGATAGGGGTGTAATCACGCCAGTATGTTAGGCAATCTCTATAATCCCAGAAACGGAACTATGCTGGGATTTCAGTGTGGCTATGACGACTGTTTTAAAAAAGGTCTGCATTTGTGCGTTATTTGGAATAGGCTTCCTAAAAACGAACAGCAAGAGCCCTTTATTACGCACATTTTTCAATTTGTATGCAGCGATACGGCGTGCACTAGAATATTAACTTTTCATTGCACGTCCACTGTCCAGTCATTAACGTCTAAACTCACTCATGGTTAAAGGGACCCTCCCACCTTCAAAAAAGTTAATGAATTGGCACGAAAGTGATGTCGCTCGGTTCAGAAAGAGCGAAAACGAATATCTACCAAATTTCATCGAAAAATATTCACCGGTTTTCAAGATATTAGACTTTTACTTTTGTTTACTTTTTGGGATCTCGGCTGTTCCTAGCGACTTTATTTGAAAGTGCGGCATTTGTTGCGCGCAAAGCAGCATATACCACCGCGTGCTACCAAACGTTTTAGTAAAAGATTTAAAAATCGTTAGATCTCCGCTGACGTCACAAATTCTAAGGGGGCATACCAATGCACTAGCCCCTTAGAATCCGAAAACTGCAAGTTTGAAATTCCATATCTCCGAATTAAAGCATTTGTCGATGTTGTGAGTGCCCAAACCGGTATTTGCAGGCCATGGCCACCAATTTGGCTATCTCAACTCAAAACTAATGTTAAGGTGGGAGTGTCCCTTTAAGAAACGAGGCATGTTTCTCTTGTTCAGTCTTTGGTGTCGTACTTTGTTAGAATGCATGCCTGCATGCTTACAATTTCACAGTCGATTCGTTACTGATCCGTCTGAACTGACAAGCTTGCTCATGCCGGTGCGAAACTCTTAATCACTCTTCTCGAAAATTATCACCTATTCCTTTCCCGGCCCGGTCCAATGTACAA